ACTTGATGCCATTTATTTGTACTTACATCAAAAGCCATGACTTGGGCACGGGATTGATTGAGGTCACACATTGAAAACAAAATAAATCCATAGCAAACAACATAACCAACTATATCTAAATCGTCCCAATACTCAGCCCAATACTCACATATAAATGGATAAGAACAAGGCACTTCGTCCCATCGATCAATAGAAGGATCATACATCTCAAAGAACGGCTCCGGAAGTGAACTGTCGCATTTTGGAGATGCAAGATAATAGAGTTTCCCATACGCAGAAACAAGAGCTCCAAATGGCCTAGGACCTTTAGGGGGCTTCAAAGGTAGCAATGACCCAGCACTTGTGTCAAACATAAACCCATCCAGTGACTTGGGATTCTCAAGTTCAAAAATTTCATCGATAGTTTCCTCTGGAAGTAGGTATAACTTGGCACGGTTGAAAATCCTCGCACCCCGAATAATATAACCACCGGTGAAATTGGCTACAGGTTCAAGAAGTGGGGGTTCAAGAGGTTGGGGTTCATCACTAACTCCTCCTCCACCAACATATTCTCCTTTTTTATTAAATTTTACTTCATATAATGCTCCACTATATTTGCCGCCAGTAAAAGACACCACTAAAAACACAGATCTAGCTTCACCCTCCGTGGGAAAGCTGGAGAGAGAGAGAGAGAGAGAGAGAGAGAGAGAGAGAGAACAAATCAAGTTAATACTCGAAACAACGTTCCAGACAATCGTGCATAGATTCATATACCAATTCAAATTTAAGAATATTTATTTATGTACTAGAAGAAGCTGGTTATTTTTAAGCGAGAATCTTTGAATAAAGAACCACTAAGTCACTGACCTTCGGTAAGCTCCTCTGGCGCTAGCAACAATCGCGCTAGCAATTTTGGCGCTAGCAACTCTGTCGCGTAGTGGGCGAAGCTTCTCCAAAACTGATGTCCACAAACGTTCCAGTTGGGCTCGCCGGCCAACAGCCTTGGCTAGAGCTTTCTCGATCTCTGATAACTTGCCCTGAAGGTCCTCAACATCTTGACCCGAGGTGAGCTCAGCGGAGGCGGAGGCGGAGGCTTGGGATTTATTCCCACCCTCCATCATAGGAGACTCTCTGATACCTTTCGCTCAATTGAAGCACAAGAGAATTCAGAGTTGGGGATGCTTGCGGTAGAGGGACTTTAGGGTTGGGTATGAAATTTAGGGTTGCGGTGGAAGGGAGTTTACGGTTAGATAAAGGATATAGAGGGACATGAAATTTAAGGACACCAACTCTAATCCTACCAAAACCTCGGTGGATATATTGTCACAGTTATACGTCCACACTCCTCTCTAATAAATTGAGGCTAATGCTTCCTTGCCCATAAAGAAAGAGAAACTCCTCATTCCCCAATAAGCATGTGTCATTTTATAAAATAAAGATATATATATATATATATATATATATAAACATGCATACTTATTGTACATTTTCTTTAGCATAGAAAAATTGGTGATGAAGAAATGGATTCTTTGTTGTTTATGATTATGATTGACATTTGTGGTCTTAATGGTATTTTCATTCCGTGTATGGAAGTCTTTACAACTCAAAGTTTGCCAGATTAAAAAATTGCCTATATCCCATTAAGCAAAGGAAAAAAAGAAAAAGAAAGAAGAGGAAACCTCCATAAGAAACTATGCCTATCAATCGTTGGAGCTGGAAAGGGCCATAATAAAAGTGGAAGAAACAAAAATGCCACTCTTGAGAATTAGAAAGAAGAAAAGAAAAAGAATACATGTCAGTTTGTGGTTGAGCCACATGACTTGAGAAATGGGCCGAGAAGATAGCTAAGATAACATGACTTTTCTTTCGGATTGTGCCCGAAATTTGTAGTGAGACTCAAGTCCCCACTCCCCAATGAACATATATATAGTGCCTTGGGCGGTTGCAACGCTAATGGGCTATTGATTATGGCCTCACACTCATCCTGCTTCCTTAGCTTGTTTGATCAACCCTAATAATAATATGAATTAAATTTAGGGTTAGGGTTAGGGTATGAACAACCCTTGGAAATTTTCCTTTACGCTTCCTTTCCACGTTCTAACTTGTACCAGAGCAGAACAGAGCCTCCTATCCTATTTCTACCATGGAGGGTCTCGTCGCTGAGCTCACCTCGGCTGAAGATCTTCAGGACCAGCTAATAAAGATGACTGTACGGCGAGATGAGCTCCACGCCTGGTTTCGGGAGATCAGGGAAGCCATAAACGCCGTTGATCTCGAGAAATATAAACTGAAAAAGGAGGTGATTCGCCTAATAGAAGAAACGACCACTCCAAATATCCCGCTGATTGTCTACGACAGTACAAACAACGTCAACAACATTGTTAATCCTTACCGAAGGTCAGTCAGTGGCATGGCTTACTGGATTAATGTTTGTTTTACATAAATCCTCTCTCTCTCTCTCTCTCCCCCACTGTTTTTCCGGGAATATTGCTTAAGTTTTCTCTCGTTGTGGCTTTGACCTTGCTTAATTAATTATTCTCTCTAGGTAGCTAGGTGTTTGAAAATATTAACATGACATGTTCTGTATATATTTCTATGTCCAGCTTGCCCGTGGTGGGGGACCATACACCGAGGATGGCAAATCAGGGGAAAGCCAGTTCTGTGTTTGTAGCGGTCAAGTATATTGAACCCCCATACAGTGGTGCAGTATTTGAAATAAAATTAAAACGAGGAGGAGAAGACAATATGGGCGGTGGTACCGGAAGAGAAGGAATCACTCATGAACCCCAACTACTTGAACCTATAGTCAAGTTATTTGGTCGTTATGCGATTCAGACTGCGAGGATTTTCAGCCGCTCCCAGTTATTTGTATTCCTAGAGAACGATATTACGCACAAGACACTGCATGGATATGCCTTTGTCAGTGGCTTCATTCGTGCCCCCGGGAGCTTCTAAGCGGGCTGGGGTCATTGTTTCTGCATATGGGAAACTTTATCATCTTGCAGCTCCAGTACACCCCGAAAAACTATCCTTTGACAGTTACGATCCTGCTACAAATCTGTGGACGCCTCTGCCTAATTTTCCATTTTATTCTACGTATCCTGCCAATATGCGTATAGTTGGTCATGCCGTTTGCTATGGCTTTATTTTGTTTTCAATGTGTGACTGCAATGAGCGGCGGTCCAAAGCCGCAGCTTTTCATGCGAGTACAAGTGTATGGCGTGAAGTGAAAATTGACACTTATGCATTTGTTCCTTTCCGAGGGAGGGCCGTGGTTGTAGGCAAGACTATCTATACCTTATCTCAATATGGAATGAACATTCGAGCATTCTCCTTTTTCTTAGAGATGGATGAAGGTGATTTTGCTTGTTCACTAAACGCACCATTAAGATTGCAGGCCTGGAGGTTCGGGGTGGGCCATTTACATGTGGTGCTAAGCAAACAGAGTATTTGGTTCATTTGGGGAACAATGATTTTTGTCATATCCGAACTGCCCAGAACGATGAAATTTATTGTCGTCAATATCTTTGTATAACCACGTTTCAAATTGTTGTTGGAGAAGGAGGAAGTTGTATCAAGACCTTATATTCAACTGTTTTTCATGTGGATGTTAGTCACTTTGGTACTTTCTACATTACATTCAGCTTCGCACCGTAAGTTTCCTTCACGTTTTTATGTTTTCATCTATAACATTTGGGATTCTCTCACTTTTTGTATGTAACATGGTTTTTGATTATTTTGTCTAAGTGAGTGTGATGATTTTGAACCTGAAGAAGAGGAGAGTGTAGAAACAAGGTAAGTTACCATCCTCACGTCACTCGTAATTAAATTACTTCTAGATATTTGAAAAAGAGAAAAAGAAAAATATTTGGGAGGAAGAAGCATTTCTCGATGCATACCTGCAGCTGTGATATACCTAAATGTTATTTTTTTTGTTTACATTGGAAAAACGATTGTCCTTTATTGGATCATGTAAAATTTGTTGGTACAGTATGCATGATTTGCTATGAGATTTTATTGAACATGAACAAGTGATACCTAGGGAGTTTTGTGTACATCGGCCAACAAGGGCACAGAAACCGTCACAGGTGAAAGAAACGTGTGTATATGAAATCTTTTAATTTATTTAATGAAGAGACTCAATTGTTTGCATGTATGTAAGTGTTTTTACTAGACTTCGAATCTAGTTTCTTGTAATATAATTAGTTTCGCAGAGACAGGCCGTCCAACGGGAAATATAAAAGCAAAAAATATGCTAAAAGCGAGAAAGCCAAACAGCAGGAAAAACCAAGAAGATGGCGAATCTAATGAAAATATTGCTTAAGAAAGCTCTTCCTTTTACCCATATGTTGAGCAGTAAAATATGAGTGATTTTATTTATCTTGTAATTACGGTTGAAAACCGTGGTTTGCTGATTTTGAACGATGTGTGCAGCTCATAACATCCTTTTTTTTTGGGCTGAACAATTTAGAGAAGCCCATGATATGTAGTTCAATTATGAGGATATTTTGTTACTGCAAACTCATTCCGAGGACATTTGCTGCTTTATCTAGGTTGTTATGTTCGATTGAATTCTGAAATGAATTACTTGTCCAATTCTAGACCCCATCCAACTGACTCATTAACTTCGGGAGCATATTTGCTCATCATTTTAACCAAAGGTGTATGTTAATCACCATTCTCATAACCATTGTTATATAAATCAAAGTAAAATGTTGGTTATGGTTATATTTATAAACACGTGTCAAGTATTAAGAATGGTATTGAATATACACACTGAGTTAAAGTGATGAGCAAAAGTGTTATCATTAACTTCTTGTGGGAATGTAAAAGGAAATCATATTGCTGATTTTGTTTCTATTTTTCATTTATCACATAAGATGAATGTAATTTATTTTTTCATATCTAATTTCTAAAATTCTAAGTGTTCAATCATCTCCAATATTATAAAACAATAGGGTGTTAGTTCGATGCTCTTAAGTGGTGCTGAGTTCAACCCCTCATTGTATTCGTTTGTGTGAGTTTCACATTAATATTGCAGGTTTTTACTTTTTGAATTTTATTACGAAAGAACCGAAGGATATATAATTTTATTTTTTTCTTGGTCTCACCGAAGGGGAGAATCATATAAACAAAAACAAAATAAAATCATACAAAACAGAAGAAAACAAAAATAAATAAATAAAAATCGAAGCAAGCAACGACTCTGCGTCGCGCGCTTTCTCTCACCAGCCGGCCTTCAATGTTGTCTCATAGTCGTCATCTTCCTTCAAGATTCTCTTCATTAATTGACCAGTAACCAGCCTAACCAACCACCATTGCAGTTAGCTTCCTCTGTTCCTCACTCTGCCTCTCTAAGCCTCCAATGGCCTCCAAATTTCCCTCCTTTTCTCCAACGGTCACAATAATCTTCTTCTCCCTCTGTTGTGCCCTCTTGCTCAACTCAGCTCACTCCTCCGCCATCGGAATCGGCTACATTTCGCGCCTTCTAGAAATTCAGGACCGCGAGAGGGCTCCACCGTATGTCCAAGTCGCAGCCGCTCGTGGAGTCCTTCGCCGCCTCCTTCCTTCCCACTCTTCCAGCTTCGACTTCCAAATCGTCTCCAAGGTACTAAGTTCAAACTTTGAAATGTTTCATCTTTTCTAAAAAAAATTCGAATCCAGCAAAGGCACAATTTTTTATTTTTTTTAAAATTCAATTAAAGATTATTTTTTTCTATAGGTTTGCACAATCGTTTTTTATATGTGGTTTATTTAATTTGCAGGAGCAATGTGGGGGTGCATCTTGCTTTATGATCAAGAACCATCCTTCTTTCCGTAGACGAGGAGATCCTCAAATTCTGTATGTAGGCATTTCTCTCTTTTGTGAACACTTGGAGATTCAGATCAAATGAAAAAGAAACCCATGTACTATAATAATCTATTAGCTGAAGTTGTATGCTTGACACAATTTCATGTGACTTTCAAATTTCAAAACTTTTTATTAGAATTTCTGGGGTCACTGGAGTGGAGATTTTGGCTGGTCTGCACTGGTACTTGAAGCATTGGTGTGGATCACATATATCATGGGATAAAACTGGTGGCGCGCAACTATTTTCAGTGCCGAAAGCAGGGTTACTCTCCCGGGTACAAGATGCTGGCATTTTGGTCCAGAGACCTGTTCCTTGGAACTACTATCAGAATGCCGTTACTTCTAGCTGTAAGCTTCTTGTGTTTACTTCTCCACAGTGGTTGTGAAATATTTTTGGCTTCCAATCTTGGAGCTTTGCTTTTGATAAATTGCAAATGATCTTTTTTGTTATCTAATTTTTTTTTTTTTTTTTTTTGTAAGATTCTTTTGCTTGGTGGGACTGGGAAAGATGGGAAAAGGAGATTGATTGGATGGCCCTCCAGGGGATCAATTTGCCTCTAGCATTTACAGGGCAAGAGGCTATTTGGCAGAAAGTTTTCCTGGTGATTTTCTTTGTTTCCTTTATTTTCCCCCTGTTAGCAGTAATGAATCAATCCACAGTTTTTTTCGTTTTGATAATGTGTTATTTATCCTCTAGCAGAAATTTAACATAAGTAAATCAGATTTGGATGATTTTTTTGGAGGCCCCGCTTTCCTTGCATGGTCTCGTATGGGAAATTTGCATGGGTCAGTTTTCTGATCTTGCTTTAAAGGATAGTTGGATGGAAATAATCTTCCTTGATAATTAAAATACTTTTCGCAGATGGGGTGGACCTCTACCACAAAGTTGGTTAGATCAACAGCTGATTCTGCAGAAGAAAATTCTTGTCAGAATGTATGAACTTGGAATGACTCCAGGTACTAATTATCACAACTCATCTACCATTAAATACTTCGTAATTTTAAGCTACTCTTTCAACGGGGAAGAAATAGGGCAGTAACACTCTTGATTTCTTGATTTCTGTTTCTCAGTCCTTCCAGCCTTTTCTGGAAATGTTCCGGCAGCACTAAAAACTATATATCCATCAGCAAAGATAACACGCTTAGGAAATTGGTAAGTAAGTACTAATATGTTCTAATGATGTAATCCACCTCATAAGTTCCTGACTAGCTTTCAAGTGCTTTAATTGGTTGGTGTTCTAAATGACTCATTTCATTCAGGTTTTCTGGAAATGTTCATTCAATTCCTTTATACCAACTTAACTATGTAGGTTTCTGTATATATTGAATACTTCATTTATTTAAAATTTTCCAGTTCTGCTTCAGGTTTTCAGTTAAGAGTGACCCCAGATGGACCCGCACTTACCTGCTTGATGCAACTGATCCCTTATTTGTTGAGATTGGGAGAACATTCATCGAGGAACAACTAAAAGGTTGGTCACCTGCGTCCTGTTCCTCCCCCTTTACATTTGTGCATGTAAGATTTGTGCTAAACACTACTTCCGTTCTAATTTCTTCTCATTGTTGGATTATTTGTTTGGTCAGAATATGGAAGGACCAGTCACATATACAACTGGTATGAGGCTTCCTTCACTGACCTTCTTCAAAAGCTCATTCTTCTATTCTCTTATAATCCTTGACATCTGCTAGATAATATTTGTTCAACTGGCCATTCTAGCTCATAACAGACTGCCTTGAAATGATCCCTTCCCAATATAAAACCAATTTTGTGATAGGTTAAGTAGGTATAATATTAGTAATTTACAATTTCCAGAGTATGATTTAGAATAGTAAATGTGTTCCAATGAGATTATTATCTCAAATCTGTCAAATATATATAGAAAATCTCAGATGTTTCATTATTTCTGTTTCCCGAATAATTGCACCGAGTTAAATCCAAAACTATGTTCCCCTTTTCATGTTTTACTGAACCTATTGCAGTGATACTTTTGATGAGAATACTCCACCTGATGATGATCCAGCGTACATCTCTTCATTAGGTGTAGCAATCTTTAGGGGAATGCAAAGTGGAGATAATGATGGTGTGTGGCTAATGCAGGTAAAAGAAATGATACCTTTAAGTCTTGCTGAGTACATCTTTTATGGAAAAATGGTTAGTTACAATGGAAGTCCAAATGCAGTTATGCACTAGACTTTCACTTTGTTTTGGTATGCTACTGAGTATACTTTTAAATCTTCAGGGGTGGTTATTTTCATACGATCCGTTCTGGAGGCCTCCACAAATGAAGGTTATATTTATAATTTATTTGCTTTCACTGTGTGGCTTTATTGTTATCCATGATTCAATTCAGCAACACTACGCATTTGATCACACAAATGGTTCTAAACTATGTGAAACTCTAAATGATAACAATTCATATTATGTAAATAAGCTCTTGATAGGAACAACCAAAGTCTTAGTAGCCTAGGCATTATGAACGAAAATCGAAATAGAAGTTGAGCATGACTTCATGCAATTTACTTACGGTTAAAATTCAGATACGAAAACTGAATGTAAAATGCACAACTCGTTTCAATCTTGTATTGATAATTTGATACACAACCCATTCTACTTTTATATCTTTGCTATTACCATCTTTCTCTGCTTTGGTTGACAGTGAAATGTGCTTGTTTTCAGGCACTTTTACAGTCTGTTCCTGCGGGGAGGCTGGTAGTCCTCGATCTGTTTGCTGAAGTGAAACCCATATGGATTACTACAGAGCAGTTTTATGGTGTTCCTTACATATGGAAAGTCATATGTCCATTTTGAAGATTAAGTTGCTATAAAGTCCTTTTTTTTTGGGGTCAAATGCTATAAAGTCCTTTTGTGTATACTAAAGAGGGACATTTTAAGTTCATCCATGCTCTTTTGTTATTCCCATCTAGATTCTTATTTGATTTGTTTGACTTCTGCATTACAGGTGTATGCTGCACAATTTTGCAGGAAACGTTGAAATGTACGGAGTTTTGGATGCGATAGCATCTGGACCAATTGATGCTCGTACAAGTGAAAACTCAACAATGGCATGTTTATCCATCCATAAATTTTTTGCTTATAATGAAGATGTTATAAATTGTTTGTTAATCTTCCATTAGGCTCTGCAGCCACACAATGTTAAATTCCCTTGTCTAAATTAA